ATACAAGTAAGTTATTTCATTACAAAAGTTGTAGAGTTATTGCTATGTGTTCTAGTGCCAATAAAGTCCTTTTTGTGAACTGTAATAACATCATCTGGGTCATTTACATCCAGACATCGCTTCTGCTTGAGTTTACAGGTAATATTTTTATTTAGATTTTATTTAGAACTATAATTAAGGTTCCTACATTTAACATTAAAATAATTTATAGTTTTAGCACTTGCTGATGAATCCTATAAAAGATTATTGTTATTCTTATGTTTCATTATGTTCCTTTCCTTACTGTTGGGCGAGGGGCTCCTCCTGTTCCTCCTTGGCCTCCCCCTCTACCTCCTTGGCCTCCCCCTCTACCTCCTTGGCCTCCTCCCCTCCCTCCTTGGCCTCCTCCTCTCCCTCCTCTTCCACGCTTTCCACGTTTACCCCACCCTCCTCTGTGTTGCCTTCGCTTTTTCTAAGCAAAGGAAAAATTCTAGTGATTACTCATTTCAATAATGCTCTTTTGATACTTTAAATTTTTTTCCTTTGTCTCTCTCTGTCCCTGTCCCATTCTCTTCTCCTGTCCCTGTCTCCTCGCCTGTCTCTGTTTCTTCTCCTGTCTCTGTTTCTTCTCCCATCTCCTCACTACTCCCCATCCTCTCCCTCCTGCCCTCTTCAATGAGTTCCAACTGCCCTAAATTACAATGGCATAAAGCCTTTAATTTACACTTAAAATTAAGTTTACTTCGGAGAGCAGGCCTGAACTGTTCCAAGTCTTTAGTTAAGAAATGTGAATTTAAAGTACAAGTAATTCAACTATTGTTTAATTACCTAAGGGCCTTCCTTCTTTCTGCTTGCCTATTTGTTGTAAATAGAACTAACTAAAATTGAATGCAAAATTGCTTTTTAGCTTAATAGTCCTTCTCATAGCTACTTCACAACAAAAATTATCACACAATTACACATGTAAATAAACTTACTTAAGCCGTTTGATTCTATTAAAAACAATGTCATGTATAGTTGTATGTTTCACCTTTTAATCTTACCATTCTCCTTTTGACTATCTCCACCCTCCTCCTTGTCTCTGTCCCCCTTCTCCTCTGTCCTCTCTCCTCTGTCTCCTTTCGTCTCTTTCACCCTTACTTCATCTTTTTCTGCTATAAATACAATTATTTTTTGCTTTTAATGTACAACACAAACATACATGTACCAACAACTTACCAAGTTCATCTACCAAAAACAAAAGGCATTATAGTTATCACTATAGGGTTACACATTCCCAACTTACCATCAGATGGATGGACCTCAATG